ACATCTTTTTAATCTGAACGAGTTTGAGAATAACGTTTACAGCAACCACTAAAACACAAGCTCTGATTTTACTTGTTCCCCGTAATTCTTGGATTAACCCCGTGGAAAAAAAAAAAAAAAAAACATTGCAAAACCTGTTCCCAGTCTAAACAAATATTCATCACTTGATAGTTAAATTGATTGAAAGTGGACAGTGGCAGTTTACCTCCTTTCTTTTTCTTATGAAGCGTAATGGTATTCATCCTCAATAATAACTTTTTTAAAAAAAGTTCGTCTTTTTACGTAGTCTCCAGTAAAACAAGCATAAAATTTTGCCGCAGTTTGACAGCAGACAGTAACAAATCTTTGACAATGGAAGACGTACGAAGTGAGATCATCAAACAAATCAGGCAAATGCAACCAGCATCTTCTTGTCAGACGTCTGAGAAAGTCTGTTTCCCAGGTCCCCCGAGTAAGAAATGGAGCCGAGGTCCCCGAGGAAGGCGAGGACCGCCAAAAGCAAAAGTAAAAACCAAAAAACCAAACAAACAATATATAAACAAAACAAAACAAACTGCCACTGAATTTTTCCACAATTTCATTGTCAGTAGAGTTATTTTAAATCAGACTCAACTCACCTTTTCAAAAAAAAAGAATGAGGTATTCATTAAAGATTGGTGAGTGATGTCAAAGGAGAATGTGTTTAATAAATTCACTCTATATTTGATCGAGAAATTGCTGAAGCTATATCGAGCAATTGTTTATTTGATTGGCATATACAAATGAATAATTAGAGGAATAAATAGATAATATGATAAAGGAATAAAAAACAAAACTGTGTACTTTGACATATAGGGGAACTCAATATGACAAATCAAGACTGTTTCTCTTTTCATCGACACGATTCAAATATACCAACGATTTATGGTGATTGCCTGTTATCAATTTTTAGCTTCAATAGCTCGTATCTGGTCTTGCCCTAAAATCTAGAGAGTCTGGGACGGTGAGGGAGCAAGTTTAAGAAATCGTTTTCTTCGGACAAATGAAAACCACCCTTAGAATTAGCATTTTACCAACACTGGCCGTGAGGATCTTGTGGGGATCTTTCTGACGAATTAAATACCAGCTTATTAAAGGCATAATTGATCAAAAAGTATGTTTTATGAAAGCATGTGCTTTCCTGTGTAAGAGTTTATCTGAAGGACAAATTTTGATAGCATGTCAAGTTGACCATTTACATGACGATGTCAAGTTCACCTTTTCATTTCATATTGTCTCCACATAGCTCGAATTTGGGAAACACACTGGCATGAAATAAGAATATTAATAAGAA